ATGGGAGTAAAATACATCTACTGTGGTACCAAATGAACTGCTGTGGCCTTTAGAATAGAACCAATTATCTCCAGGATCTAACTAGCATCTTCTCGCTTTGCAAGTCTCCCTGAACCAGCCCTGAAATCACAATGAAGCCAAGTGCTTAGGGCCTTCAGGCCAGTAGGTCTACTGCTTCCTAGTATCTGATACTTCCCCAAGGGTAGATATCTGCTCATCAAGTTTCTCTTTCTTTTTTTTTTTTTTTTTCTTTTTTTTTTACAAATAGTTTATTGTCAAATTAGTTTCTACATAACACTCAGTGCTCATCCCCAAAGTGCCCTCCTCCATGCCCATACCCCCCTCCCCCCCACATCCATCAGTCCTCAGTTTTTGTCAGCATTCAAGAGTCTCTCATGGTTTGCCTCTCTCCCTTTCCCCCACCATTTCCACCCTTCTTCTCCCCCTTGTTCCTCCGTCAAGTTCCTCCTAATCCTCCTATACGTGCAAACATATGATATTTGTCCTTCTCTGCCTGACTTATTTCGCTCAGCATAACACCCTCAAGGTCCATCCATGTTGCTACACATGGCCAGATGGCGGAGAAAATCAAGTTTCTCTTTCTAATGGTTTTCATTTCCCACTTCATTGGGCTCAAGGCTTTGCCTGGTTTCCATGTAGGATTTGCCAGGCATCTTAGGAAAAAGAGCAGGAAACCCCCGCTTCATTTCTAAGTCACAGTAGATGAAATGCTTAGGATAGAAAAGACTTGAGCTACCTGGACACTTGCCTCCTCCTCCCCCAGAACTCCAGAGAAGCTATGTTTGGAGACCTTATTCCCCCTAATCTTCTCTTCCAGGACTTTGCAGACTCCATTACTAGAAGTTCCATCCTATGGCCAGTCCCTCACAGCTACAGCTTCAGTCCATTTCCGGAAAGCCAGTTCTTGGTGCTGAAAGCCAGTGGTGGATTCATTCATAGACTTGACACAGTCCAGACACAGTTGAGGGAAGAATCAGTAGACTAGAAGATAGTTCAGTGGAAACTAAACAAACAAAAACATTAAAGCAAAAAGAAAATGGAAAACAAAATAAAATGAAACAAAAACAGGACAGAGTATCCAAGCGCTGTGGGACAATACCGGTCAGTGGCTGGAAATCTGGCGGCTACAGAAACTTGGCAGATTGTGGGGTTTTCAGTTCAACCCCTCTCCACCTATCCCCTAGTTAGTTACACAGAATTAACAGTAAACCTACCCAGAGGGTCAGCTCTCAACCTTTTTCTAAGATATCTTCCTTAACTAACAAGTTATAATATTCTAACATAGACCTGGTCTTAGTATTAAGGAAAATCATGTTCCCATCGCTTAGGGACCAGTAAAATTGGGTTTCCAGTTAAAATACAGAGCACCCAGTTCAATTTGAACTTTGAAGTTTTAGTAGAAGATACATCTTGTGCAATATTTAGGACATATTTAAACCAAAAAAAAAAAAACAACAAACAAACCCAAAAAGCCAACCACCTTCATTGCTTATCTGAAATTCAAATTGAATCAGGCATCCATATTTTTATTTGCTAAATCTGGCAACTGAACATTAAAAGCCACCATTTTGCCCACTCAAAACTGTCTACTTTTTGACCATGTGCATTACTTATAAATCTAACAAGGTATGTCAGAGGCCAGTTTATCAGGTCTACCAGGCATTAACCCAAGCAGTGGCTGCTTTATGAAGCATGGGGCATACGTCTGAGGAGTGGGTGGAAGAAACCTGCTACAGAGGAGGCTCCAAGTTTGGAATCAGAATACCCTGTTCTAAAACCAGATGTGCCGCTTACAAGCTGGACCCATCATTAAACTTCAGTGCCTTAGCTTCTTACTGTAAGAAAGGTCAGTGACAATCCCCACCCAGCCACGTCTCCCCCATCATCAGATGATGCTTCTCAGCACCTCCCTCTGTGGGACGTTATGTGGGAGCCATATAGGAATATATGCCCCTCAGGTGATGGATTTATTGTTACTTACGGGAAGAGATGGGAGGAAACTGTCATGAGGGGCACACCGGGTCAGGGAAGAAAAGGCCTCAGATGGCCTTTGCATAGTTCTTGCTCCTCCCTGGTATTAATAATACCTGCTGCCATCAGACTGCCCATTTCCCACGCCCCCCAAACTGCATTTCAAATCCTTATCGGTCAATAGCATGTATTTTTGGCCTTTGCCAGCGTGCACATACCAGGCGTAATCAGGCCTCGTTATGTAAGTGCGGCAGAGCTTGGCCTGGTCCCTCCTTGGAGAGGTAACTGCCAAGGGGAGCACGGGAGGCAGCAGTGATACGGGACCCTGTCCTCTGAGTCAGCCCTGATGCCAGCCTGGTGAGGTAAGCCTCCGTCAGGGGCACCATTCACCTGCTGGCTTCTGGCCTCTCTGGCGATGATCATCTCCCAGCAGGCTGGCTGGGGTGTAAGTAATGAGACAGGTTTGTTTCATGTAGCTCCTGGCTACAGAGTGGTGGCCCGGATTCCATACATCAGTGACAGGGCAGACGGAGAGTTAGCTGGCTCTGCCCTGGAATGAGTGCTCTCCAGTGCTGCCACTAGCCATGTCTCTGGACTCCTGGGCTCCTGGACCCTGGGCCTGGCTTTTCCATCCAAGGCTCAGCGGCCCATCTCAGATGCCCCATGAGCCTGAATGACCCACACCTCTCCTGCTGACCCCCCACCAACACCAGTGGCAGACCTCAGGCTAAGGGGAACTAGGGCTTCGGCTTTCCTCTGAATCTGAGAAATAAAACTGGCATGAAGGAGCAAGCTACCCCAGGCTCAAGGTCAAGGTCTAGATTCTCAAGGTCCCTTTGGTCCACAACAAGAGGGAATGTGTTAGAGTCACAGTAAAAAAGGAGGCTCACACACTGCCCTCGTGGTCCAGGGACGTGGAGCACAGATAAGGAGACACAACCATAAAGGAGGCCCAAAACACCCTTGTACTTCATGACCCAGAAGAAAAGGAAATCCAGTGGCCCAGAAGGGAAGTTGCCAACAAGGGAATCTGTGAGATTCTCCGCACCATGAATATAAGTCCCTGCTTGTCTCCGTGTCTGCTTAGCAGCCACTGGGACATCTTCACACACAGCAGGTCCTCCGTCCAGTCAGCAGGTGAGACTTACCCAGTCCCATTGACCCCATCCACACTGACCTGGTGACCCCTCCCCCCACCCTGCCGCCTTTGGGAGGGGGCTGCGGTGTTGACCCAGAGAACTGCGAGTCTAGGACCCAGGCAGGCACCACACAGCCACATGCTCTCCCACATGGAGGGTACAGCTCACGTCCAGCTGGTAGAGGAGAAGAAGAGAGGGGTTCCGGGCAAAGGTACCGAAAGACCCCCTCCACTGGGAGCTGCCTCTCCGGCTCCCTTCAGAGCTCCAGCACCCGGGGCTGGCCTGGGGCATGCTCCTCCTGGCTCAGACATGACTCCTGTCTGTCCCTCCACACCAGATCCGGTTTCACGAGGCCTGGAACTCTCCGAGCCCTTTACTGCTGGGAGCTGATTTATTTGAATGCATCTGTCAGCATGACTGAAGGGTGTCTGGACGGCCGGGAGCCCAGCTGTGGCAGATGTTGCCTCGGGATGGCCTCTGAGCGAGGCTCACATGGATTTTGCCTACCCCTTCTCTTCCTTTCCCCACTCCCCGTCCTGGGAAAAGCCTGCAAAGAAGCTAAGAGCATCTTCACAGCCCATGAGAACCAGGAAAGAGCAGGGCATCCGGGGACCAGGAAGGCACGAAGGAAGCCGGTGTGTTAGAACGACACATGCCAAGGCATGGGGTTCTAGACTTTATTTTGCCACCAGCAAAGTCTGTGACTGTGAGCCAGCCTGTGGGCCTCCCACATCCTCTAAGTTAATTTCTAGCTCAGAGACTCAGCTTGGCAACTCTTTGATCCCATGGGGCCAAACAAATTTCTCTTCCCCTTGATCACACAGCACCTACACTCCCATAACAAAGTGACTGAACACGGAACAGTCCCAATGCAGAGTTCTGACCGGCGAGGCAGAGCTCTGTACCCTGACTCCGGGTCAGGATAAATGTTTCACAACTAGCTCTTCAGGAACAAAGGGATACATGAAATACACGTTGCTGATGTAAAGCAGACAATTTACAAATACGAAAACACACAATACTCTTTATTGTAAATTCCACATAGCCAATTGATTCTCCTGGAATGCTTTCGTCGATGGTTGCCAGACTCCTGTATCTGTGTCAAGCCTACGGCTGCTACCCGATTTAATAACGGACTGCGTTTGACAACCAGCTTGGGAAAATCCCTGAAAGTTCCACACTTGGCTCTCGAGATCCAAAAGGAGCCAACTCCCCACCGGGCAGCAGGCTCCAGAGAGCAGGGCCTCAGATCACCTCTGTTGGTAGCATCTACCCGGGCCAGACCCAGCGGCCATCACAGTCCAGTCTACAGCCTGCTCCCTGAATTGAACCTGCTCTCCTTAGTTTACCCAAAGAGGAGAGCCAAGTAAGCCGAGTCTGATAAAGTAGGAACAGGTGTCCTAAGGGAGGGTGGCCAAGGATGGATGGTGGCAGGTGGTGGGTAGCCAAGAAGACTCTGTAGATGGGGTGAGTCAGAGACCAGACAGAAGTGAATAGGCACAGAATGGGAAGAGCAGAGGTCAGGGAAGGTGTCCCAGGGTTGGGGGGACAGCACAGGTAAGGTCATTGTTTGAACGGTTGCCTTCCCCAGCACCCAGACCACTCACTGACACTTCCATTTGACAAGTATTCGTGGTCCACTGTGTACTAAGCACTGTTTTCAGTTAAAGTCCCTGTTCTTATGATGATTCAGTCCCATTAAGGGAGAGACTCAATACACAGCAAAGAAGAACCCCAGGGGTGGAGGACGCTGTGAGTTAACCAAACTTGACTTCAATATAAGAAAGAACTTGACACAGAACCTAATCCCTAGGAATACTAAACAGGGACTTCCCAAAGGAAAAAAACAAAACAAAACATAAGGCACAGTTATGCAAAACAGAAGAGGTCTCTTTCATGCAGGACTTCTCAGGACCTTGGCTGGGCTCTTGGGGTGATGAGCCACCAGTTGGGGCTTACAGGCCGTAGCATTTCCCGAACTTGCTTTATGGATGGAAGAGTTAAAAAGTGGGTAGGAGTCCTAAGGGTCCTAAGATCCAAAGGGTCCAATGTTCTCAAGCAGCTGTGGGAATACTACTTCAAAGTCTGAAAAAAAAAAAAAAAAAAAAAAGTCTGGATTATGGAGACCCAAGTAGAGAAAATCAGAGGAGTGGAAAGGCTGGTCCAGGAAAATAGCTGCTCTTCTTGGCTTAGCTGCTGTCTCTTTGCCCTGTCAACCCTCACCTCCCCTTCCCCGTTCCCACTGGAAATGGATCCACAGCCAGTGGTGGGGCCTGTCTAAGGGAGGGGCTCCCACGTCTATCTTTCTAGTAGTGAGGCTCATCCCTAGGCTATGGGGCAGCAGGCCTGGCGTGGCAAATAGAGGCTTCTCAACTACTTGTTCTTGGCCAGACTCTTGAGGAGTTAGAGCCACCTGAGTGCTCACGCTGACACACAGGCCTTCCGTTTACCTAATATGTGGAATGAATTAGGCCTCTCCACAGGTTTCTAAGCTGTGTTCCATGAACTCCAGGATCCTCCAAGGTGTTCCGCAAGTCTCTGGGAGAGGCCGTGGAGCAGCTGAGGGATGGGGCTTCAAGCCCAGAAGACCCCTTTGCTCCACGGAGGCTCTGCATAAGAAGACTGATCTGAAAGCTAGAAAGAAAAACATATTTCCAACACACCCAGGACTCCAGAGTTTCCCTCTGGTCCCTCCAGATCCAGCCACCTCCAAAACTCATCTCCCTCAGTAACAGTGAGCAAATAGTGATGTGATCATAAGGGAAGAGTAGTATTCAAGAGCCTCTGCCATGAATTTGGCATTTGACCAGATGCTCCTCCTCACACACTCGGGTCCATCAACCTCAGCTCCCAGTTAAGGAGCAAGGAGGCAGACGGACAACACTGAGACCCAGGAAGGACAGGCAGCCGAGCGAGGACCCCCAGACTAGCACCGTCAGCCTCTGGCAACCTGACAGCCACCGCCCGCCCTCGCTCCTCGTCACAGCCCCACCTCACGCACCATCTCACGGAAACCCCTCTTTGCTTTTTGGCCCTACTTCTTGGTTTCGCTCACAGTGGACTTGGCCAGCTTTTGAGCCAGCCTTGAATGACAACCATTTTCCCCAGGATTAAATCTCCCTTTAGTGGAGCCATCGTGCCACACAGGCTGAGCCTGGGAGGCACATCTGGGAAGACATCTGGTCCATCGGCCGACCTCCCTCGCAGATGGGGACTTCGTGGGCATCTGCCCTGGTTCCCGCCACAACACCAGGAATGGGGTTTTGGGTCCCTGCTGCAGCCAAGGACTCACTCAGTGCCTGAGGAGAGCTGACAAATGTCTCCGAGCCCCGTTTCCACATCTTTGCAATGTGAGGAGACACTGCCCTGTCAATTTACTTACCCATGCATTATAATAATAAGCAAAGCAGTGGCTTCAAAGATGGTCCATTTCCTCAATAAAGGCAGAGAATTCGCAGTAATTCAAAATGTCAGTTATCTCGCATCGTTGGCAAGAGCTACAAAGATGTATTGTTTCGCTCTGTGGCAGGCTGAGATCATTTCAGCCCAGTTCTCCTCTGTCTCCCCAAGCAGCCACCCATAAGACAGCTTGACCTTGACAGCGAGGCTTTGCCACCGCGATTTTCACAGAAACCCTAGATAGTCCTCCCTTATCTCTCTGGGGAATAAAGTGGCTGGGGGCTGTTTCAGAACGAAGGAGAGCCCAGCCCAGGGCTGGTGTTTCCCAGAGGGGAGACAGGGGTGGCGAGGGGGCCCACAGTGTGCGGGGAGGGGGGGTCAGCCACGTGAGCTGCTCCATTTCTGGCCGTGGCACCACCCACAGACCTCCCTGGAGCCAGTCGGTCGAGTCAGACTGATTAGGCCAATTCACTCTTTATCTGGGACCAGCAGATAAGGCCTCGAGCCCAGAGGGGTGACTATGGGATGTGCCCAGTGGGAAGGAGACCTAAGGAACACTGCAGCTGTGGGGAGGACAGGGGAGGGCAGAGAGCGTGCTCTTGAGGCCCTGCTGCGGGTCTCAAGTGGTTTGCAGTCAGGATGGGGATGGTGGTCTCCCCTGCGTGCACCACCTGAAAGCCCTGGGCCAGCGGCTCTCCATCTCCTGGGGGGCTTGATACAACACACGTGGCTGCGGAGTTCCTGATTCAGTAGTTTGTGGAGGGACTGGGAACTTGAATGGTGACCCCGGTGCTCCTGGTCCAAGGACCACACTTTGAGGACCTCTGCCATGGGCTCTTGACGAAATCTACACCCTCAAGTCCATCTCCCTGAACCATCTCCATCCCTACTCTCAAGAGACAAAGGTCACAGGAGACCCGACACCTAAAAAAGCCCCTAAGAGGGGGAAGGACAGCTACCTCTCTCCCCACCAGCCAGGGAGGCCTAAGCACTGAGGTGTTCTTATAAATGAGCTGGGGGACCTCCCTGGGCCTCACTTTCCCCATTCGTCATGTGAAGAGGTTGGCCTAAGCCACATTTAGGCAAGCTCCTTCCTGCACCAGAGTGTCGCAGGGTCCTGTAGGAGAAAGAGCGGCCTACTTCCACCTGCACATTCATCTGCTGGGAGCCCGCTTCCTCGTCTCCGTTAGCCGGGGCGTCGTACGAAGCAGGTGAGGACTCCATCTGCAGCACTCAGCTCCCACACCGCAAACCGCTAGTCCATCCACTGCCCAACCAAGTACCCATCTGAAGACTTACCTTGTTCTCAGCTCCCCGCCCCCCCACTTTCCACCTCTCTGTGCCCTTCTTCCCTGGATTTAAAGTTTGAGCAAAATATTCGTTCTGATGATGAAGGTGTTCTATACACTTTTTACCATCTCATCTCACCACCCTTTACCTGGGGCCCTCTCCTTGCCTCAGTGCCCGGGCAAGATGGGACCGTGTCCACAGTCGTCTGCCACAGCCACTACTAGTCACCCATGCTACACCAGAAGCCATCTGCTGCCCTGATCCCAACCGTGATCTGAATCACAGAGGGGAGCCCTGGCCACCCAAATCCAGCCCTCTGGATTGCTAGCAAGATCTCTGGCATTCAACAGCCGCCCCCGCCCCGCAGATTTCCCAGAGCAGTGACAGCCTTGCAGCCAGACGCCCTACCTCCCAACCCCATTCTTGCTTTCAAATGACAGCCACGGGGCAGAGGGCTTCACCAAGCCACACTTTCTCCTCTCTCTCTCTCTCTCTCTCTCTCTCTCATGCTGCTCCCACTGTACCCCCTGCATGAAGTCTGGGAAAGGAACTCACAGAATGTGGGCTATAAATCTCAGCTTCCGTTCTCACAGGGCAGAGATGAGCAGTGACCACAGACCCGCACCTGGCCCAGCATCCTGTGGGTCTGTGGGTCATCACACAAAGGCTTCTCGGGGACAGTCTCTTCCAGTCTGCAGGTGTCTTCCCAGACACATGTGCTTTGTTTATGTGACAGTCACCAACAAGTTGTGAAGCTGGCTGAAGGCACATCTCCTAGCACTGCAGGGGAGAAACACTGAAATCAGAGAGGAAGAGACACTTGCCCGACATTACACAGCTAATTAGTAGAACTGAGAACAGAGCCCAGGTCTCCTGGACTTGAACATGCACTTTCCCTCACAGCAGGCTGGCCCTTGCGGATGCTGCCTGACTGATCTAATTGCATCCCAGCCCAGGTGCCTACGTGGGTGAAGCTGGGGCCTGGGAGGATCTCAAGGCTCAGTGAGCAGTAATGAATGAGTTCTCCACGACTCCCAGCTAGGGAATAGGAAACATCCTGTGGTCCACTCTTACGGGCCTGCTCTCCCCTCCCAGCCTCTTAGGCCCCTCCCCCCCTCCACAGCACACGGTCCCAAGCCTCCTACCCGATACCCTGCGGTCCTTTGTGCAAGCCAGAGGAGACTGCTTAGTGACAGGTGCATCCTCCTGGTGTTCATGCTACCTGCTGGTTGGGGACAGGGTCCAAACTCCAGATAAAAAGTAGATTCTTCCAAGTCAAAAGCAGACCTGGGAGACGATTCATATATAAAACTGTTTCTCCAGGGATATCTCACAGAACACCAGCAATCTGCCCTAAACACAGACTTCAAACATACTAGAATCTCCTGACGTTTGGGGTGGAAGAGACACGGTTCCCATTGCTCAGGGCTCCATGCAGTCCGTGGGACAGGATCTGCTTCCCAAACTTACTGGATTCTGGCACCCTCTGTCAGCACTCTCAGGATGATTCTGTGGAATTGGGGCTCAGCACAGCTCTGTGTCTCTAGGCCCAGAATTAATTTTTAAGACATTTTAAACAAATAACATTCTGAGAGATCATCTGGTCCAGGGGTCAACAAATGATGGCCAAATGTGGCCATGGCCTATTTTTGTACGGCCTTTTAACAAGGCATTTTTGTAAAAACATTTTTGAAGAGCTCAGGGGCAGGGGAAGAAAAGGAAAGGAAAGGCATATGTAATAGAAATTTACGTGGCCCTGCAAAGCCTAAAATATTTACTGACTTTTCCTTTACAGAAAAACCTCACCACCCCCTGACCTGTCACCTCACCTCTCATGTAAGATGTGGTCAAAAGTGTCCTCCACAGAGAGAAGGACGGATCTAGACAACAAAGATACAGGAAAGGGAAACCAGCGTTCAGCTGGCAGTTAGACATCAGATTTCTTTGAGGACAGTGAAAACTCTAGAAAAGGATTGGCTGGGGAAAATGGGCTACTGGGACCCAGGACCGAGGGAGGAACCAGAGACAGGCTTGGTGATACCCCGGGGGTTGCGGGAGGAGCTGGCTGGAGGAATAGCAGCCCACCATCATCTGGGAGGTGGGTGTGAAGGACCAGGTCTGCAGGCCAGGGCCAGTCCAGGAGGGCTGCCTGCTGGTGGTGGGCCGGGATTGTTCCCTGAGGCTCCGATCCCAGGACCCAGGACTGTCCCAGGGCTGCAGGCTGATCCCGAATTCTCTGTAACCCGACCCAGACCCAGCGGTGAAGGACACCTCACCGCAGAGGAGCGGAGGGGCATAAAAGGTATACAAAGGGATTCAAGGGGATTTGGTTACAGAGTTGCACCAGCCACTTCCTGGAATCCAATGGGAGTGAGTTCTGAGAACTGGACACGGGGAGGGGGGAGCTAAGCGGGGAAGAGAAAAACAGGCCAACAGCTGGTTTGCGAGTGTGCGCTGGGAAACAGAGCTGGCCCATGTGGGCCTGCGGGCTAGTAGGTCGAGCTCTGCCCCCAGCCCTGAGGGACTGGGGGGAAGGGAGGGGGCCAGGCGTCCAGGAGCAGCCTTGGCCTCCCGCTGGCAGCCTCTCCGCCACATGCCCCCTCCTCACCACCCACCCCTCTGTGGTGCCCGGCCCCACCCCAGTCTCCTTTGCCCCTAGGGAGCAGAGAACAAAGGGTCCTGGATGTGCCCCCAGCCTTTCGTTCCTCCATGTCTCGCCGCCACCGACACCGCTGTGCCTCTGCCTTTGCAATCCTTTCTTTTCTCCTCTCCTGCCTCACCCCTCAGTTCTTCTGTTCCCTCCTTGGAACTTCTCTTCCTCCACCTGACCTCCGACCCCCGCTCCCCCACCCCCGTATGGTTCCAGGCTTCATAGCTAAGCAGTCAAGGATAAATTCCTATCTGGGCCTGAACCTGGTCCCTCTGAGTGGGGGTTTGGAACAGAGTAAAGGAGGGAGCCTCACTTCTCCCCGGTTCTGCAGCCTCCCTGGCTGGCTCTCCCCACCACACAGGAAATCAGGAGGAGCCGGAGAAGTTGTTACAGAGGAAAGGCTCATTCTCCAGGCCTGCTTCCTCCCAAGGGAGGGAGCCTGCTGGGCCCAGGGGCCACTCGTGGGCAGCCGAACAAGCCCACTTCTCCAAGCTACCACCACCACTGCCACCATACACACTTTATTTGCCTTTTTCCATGTCTTTCCCCATCACTCACCAGGACCAAGGAAGGTCATGTGCCTAGACCTATACGGTAACCACGCACATCTACCGTGACGGCACTGAGTGATATGGCAAAGTGGCTTCACCCCCTAACCACAGGCTTCTTGAGAGAAAGAACTGTGCCTTTTGACAGGGTGGTACAGGCCACCTTGACCACACTCCCAAACAATGTATTTGCACTTGGGACCATCCTGGAAAATCTGTTACATGTGGAGATTAAGTGCACTGCCCCTGAGCAGACCCGGGAAAGATCTGGAGTAGTTACAGACAAGATGTGTCCAATTGCTTCGTTGTTTAGCTGAGGAAGTCAAGGTGACGTGCAGTGGAAATCCGAAGGGACCCCTCCTGCAGATCATACGTCACAGTCCTCCTCCTGTCTGACATCCTGTCGTCAATGGCAGATTTATCTAAAAAACAAACAAAGTCCATTCCAGGAGGAGCCATCCCAAGTTCATCTAAAGCCAGTACAGGGAAGACTGGTCTCTTTCTTAAACAAGCAAATACTTTTGTTTCAACCCCAACTTTTCCCGGGGCCTGCTGGGTGGTGTGCACCGTGCCAAAGCCATATATATATGGCTTACATATATATATATATGAATGATACTTGAGGATGACATTGTGATATGATGCCAATACACAGAAGCAAAGTAAAGACTCAAGCAAGTTCCTTGGCCTCCTGTAGAAGGCCTCCTTGAAGTAGAGTCTGTGCCCTTGGACTTGTCTTGAGCATTCTTATGCCTGGTTTTCCACCCGGAAGCACTATCCACCTCTCTATGTCTACCTCTCCAAGAAGTTTTCTGATCCTCCTTGACTTGACTGATATTTCCTTTCCCCAAGCTCCCAGAGCACCAATTGCCCAAATCACACATCCGGCCCCTAAGCCTCTGTGTGTTGTAAGCTGGATTTTCCTATGTCCACATAATGGAAACTACCAGGGCTCTGGGCAGGTCCCTTCAGATCCCTTTTACTGGTTTGTTGTGTGCTTTTCCATCTTTGGCTTTTTCTTTCCCAGGGCTTTCTAGAGGTGTCCATTCTCCTTTAGAGGACTACCTTTGGCCTACTGGAGCCACTTCACCTGCACACCTGGTACGCCTGGGATCTTATGACCTCACGGGATGTCCCCTGTCTTCTTTGTTATAGGACATATATTAGTCAGCATCCAGGCTTGGGAGACAGAAAACCACAGGAGTTATTTTCATGGAATGGATTTAAAGAATAATTAACTCAGTACCAAGAACAGAAAAGGCCAAAGGGAATATTAAAGTAGCAAAGAGGTCCCAATTATTAGAAGCAGCTAACTCTTTCAGTATGAGGGAACAAAAGGGACTATTATTAGAATTATGGAAACTTAAAAGCCTGGAGGGAGACACCCCCAGCGCTAAACTTCAGCCCTCTCTAAGGGGCTGCTGCTCTGCTGGAAGAAGGGCCCCATGGCGCGGAACCCAGAGACCTGAGAAGGGGGCGCCAGCCAACTCATGATGGCATTTCTGAGAGGCAACAGTGGGCCTGGTTCTGCAAGTGTTGGGAACCCTGGAAACTGGAACACCCACTGCTCCTAGAAGGAGAAGCCAGTGTGGAAAAACATTGCTCAGTGATGCCCACAGGAGCAGCGGGCACATGGAGCAACAGAAGGCAAACAGGGAGAAGCACTGGCCACGCCAAACTGGGGGCTGCCTTGCAGAGAGAATTAAATGCATCCACCCTCAGACATTAGAATCACTTTATCTACAATGTATATGAGTTCCAGGGCAACTTGAAATAACTGAGGCCAGGCCATAACTGAAAAAGAGATCTTTTGTTTTGTTTCATGTGTGTTCAAGAAGAGAACAGTTCCTCCTTCATATATGAGTTAGTTTATTCTGGGAGACAATAAAGAAGATTTTTACTTAAGACACTTAACTAACCAGATACTTGAATGTGGAAACTATAAAACATCCCAAATAGACAGGACCGCAGTGATTAGTTAGTAGAACCTCACTTTCTCTCCTACCCACTAGCACCCAGATGAGGAGACTGAATCCCAGAGGAACCAAGTGGTCAGAGAGTGGCAGGACCAGCCCTGGAACCAGAGTCATTCCTTCATTCAACAAGTATTTACTAAGCATCTCCTACCCCAGGTCTAGGACCTTGGAAAATATCAATTAATAAGACATTCCAGGAAGTAGGAGCCATGGAATGTAAGCTATATGGTGGCAGAGATGTTTCTGTCTACATCTTTTCCTTTCAAGATGCTCTTCTGTATTACTTTTGGATGGCTTCATTTTTCACTTATTCTCTCTGTAGACCTCATCAAGAATAGAAACACAACAGAGGGTGGGGTGAAACAGGGAAGTTTGGAGAGATAGTAGCTTACAGCTGTGATGGAAACTACATTTCCCTCCACGGGCATTGGCCACCATAGTTCTGGAAACTCTAGGACCATCCTAGTTTCAACTATTCTGCTCTCTGTGACTAGCAGTGTCTTGATGGTCTGAATATACTCATGTCTATAGCCATACTCCATTGGGAGCCATCTTGGTACTGGGACTGGGCAGCACAACACTTCCCCCTGATGTTCTGGAGGAATGGCCTGTCTCAGACACTGGTGGGGACCTACAAAGGTTGGAAATCAGTTGTTTACTGAGTTCTTTCATGAAACTAACCAGCCATCTCCTTGTTGAGCACTTTAAAAGATCTAGTGGGAAGCCTCAGAAGAAATGGGGGAAGACAGAGCTTGAGAATCTTAGGCTTAAGAATCCTTAGATTCTGCTCTGCTTGTTTGGGGTGACAAACAAGCTCATTTTTTATTGGTGACAAATGTGAAGGTGCCCTGAACCTTTAAGATAAGAAAGGCAAGGAAATCAAACAAGAAGACAGAGGAGGCACTGGAAAACAATGTGGCTGCAGTTCATTATGCATCTGAGTTCTGATCCAGAAATATGGCCCTTGTTCACCAATCCAAGGGCTGAACTGAAATCCAAATTCTCTAGATCTTTTTTCCCTCTTTTCTTTATCTCTGTTTTGTTTTTTTGTTTTGTTTTGTTTTTACATCTCTTTCTTTGATTACTAGTCAACTCCTGGGAAAGAGAAGAGACCAAGGAAAATCAAGTCCTTCCCAACTTTGATGACCAATAGCTTTTTCCTTCTCAGACTTTCCTCAAAGCATTTGTTAACACATATTGAAATTACAAGAATCCTAACATTCATCGGGCTTATCCTTTCCCACATACTCAGGGAAATTTGAACACAGAATACCTGGCAATTCACTTATTACAGGGATAAACAGAAAATAAGATGGAACAAATGGTGGTAAACTTTTGAAAACTCAAATATCCCCAGAGTGGAATTCTTTACTAAGAATCTTTCCTCTGTGTTTAGTGTGATTACACACATGCACATGGGTGGGCCTGGGTTCTTTTCAGCTGATACAATTAAAAAAAAACAAAAAGCCTTTTCAGAATAAGGAAGACAAGGAATCCAGAAGGAAAGTCATCCATCCTTTTTCTGTTTAAGTAGAATAAGCCACTAACTTATCTTTAATGAGTAGACATCTCCACTGTGCTAAAAGTTCTCTAGGCAATAAGATTTTACAACCTCTCTTAGCTACCCACTCCCAGTCATTACCAAAGTTCACCCCAAATGCTCTCTCACTCTGCTGGTTGGGGAAAAAGTTGATGAAACCTCTCAGAAAAACGATTTGGAGAAAGAAAATGTATTAAGAGTCCTAAGGATATCATCCTCTTTGACCCTGTGACTTCACTTCAATAGCTGTAACCTAAGAAAATACAAAAAAGACTAACAAAATGAAATAGATATGTACATTTTGTATCCCTTTTTGAATAAAAGCAAATAATTAGAATTGTATTAAATATAGGATGTTGGCTAATTGGTTTATGTAATAGATAATAGAATATTATACAGATCCTGTAGTGTAGATTTATATAACATATAGGTAACATATACAATACAGAAATTATAGTTGTGTATATAAAATGCAGAGGGGGCACATTGGTGGCTCAGTTGATTAAGCATCCAACTCTTGATTTCAGCTCAGGTCATGATCTCATTGAGCCCTGAGTTGGCACAAAGCCTGCTTGGGATTTCTCTCTCCCTCTCTCTCTGCCCCTCCTTGGCTTGCAATTCTCTCTCTGTCTCAAAAAATAAATAAACATTAAGTAATTTAAAAAATAAAATGCAGAGATAGATAAATATAAATAGGTCAATCACATACGCACAATGTTAAATGTTAAAATGATGCATTTTCTGTCTCATTTTTGGCTGAGGCCCCAAAGAACAGAGAACAGAATAACAGGGAGCAAGTATTCCCACATAGAAAAAACAGTGGGCAGCTCCAGAAAGGAGCAGTTCACATTCCCAAAAGAAGGCTTCAACTAGTAGGGGATGAAAATCAGTGGATAAATTCCCAGCCTCCCAGCATCAGAAGGGACAATTCTAAGGTAACTTTCTCATCATTTTTCTCGGAGGATCTCCAGTGGGATTAAACTTCAGTTGCCCTTGACAGTCATCAGCTCAGTAACACACTCTATTCTCTCCCTTTCTGGGCTCACAGCCGCCATTCCCCCATTCCTGTTTCCTAGAATCTACTTCATAATATACAACCTGTTCTCAGGTCCTTATCTCAGGCTCTACTGGAGGGCAAGTAAAATTAAGTCATTCCCAAAATGTAATACCCTCTGGAGCTCAGGTTTTGTAGCTATCTAAAACTCAGGAAGGAAGTTATCTTCAGAGACTTTTGTTTCATCCCCCAGGTGAAGCAAGAACACAAAATGAAAATGTGGCTCTCTAGTCAAACAAGGAAGAGGAAAAGCTCAGAAGATATACACAAACTCATAGTTCAGCGAACTATCTTGTCACAACATTATCATCATTGCTGCCATTATTACTGTCAAATGCCAAAGATGCAGAAGTCAGACAGCGTCCCAGCCGGGTAGGTAGTCACATCACTGGAAAAGACTCGTGGGGCTAGGTCCAGTTTCAGGCAGTTCCTCTGCCTAACACAGTTACCTGGCTTCTCCAGCTATTTGGAAGGGAACTGTATTTTAGAGACAACAGTGTTATAACCCGCTGAAACATAGTGCTGAGTGCCAGGAATGGGAGGACTCTGATTTACTACGAGTCTCTCATTCCCAATATGGAACCCAAGGCATATTTAGATGGACAGCTGGATCTTTTCTCCTTTTTCCTCACAGATTTCAAATGATGCTTCAGGAAAAAGTAGGGATTCTGAGGCCAGGGATGAAGGGGCTCTAATAATGTATAGTCCCTGGGATCTGAATAGAGAGCCAAAAGAGAGCAAGCTACCCCATACACAATCCCAGATTCTTACCCCCAGCTCCCATGCCTACAATGCAAACTGGCCCCTGGACTATTTGATAAATGTGGGCAAGATAGAAGTGGAACCCACAGGATCAGTGGTGGTAGATTCCAAAGGTTTAGGATTGAGGTTATAAAGTCAATGTCTTCAGGGTACAGGCCGGTAATATTAGTACAAGTGAAACAAGCAGAGATTTGTGGAGACAATGGTGAAATGAAGAGCTTAAGCCCCATCTAAAAGGCACTTCTAAACTCTAGTCATTTGGGAGGCAGTGTTGCTAGACAAATTTTTAAGAGCAACCAAGAAGCCAAAAATCCAGACTGTATAGGAAAGTCGTTGGTTTCAGTGGTGCAACTAGCTCAAATGTTTTTGCTCGCCCCATGTTGGCCTGCATAGTCAAAACATGTCTGTAGCCAATAGTTGGCTCCTAAACCATCAGGTAGACATATGTTATGGGAGTGAGATAATCTACTGTAATTGGAAAATGTATTGAAATAGACACCAGACAGCATAGTAACAGACTACTATAAGATTTTGAAAAAGCTGAAAGAATGGAAAAAGACTTTAGGATTGAGTTATAGACAGGCAAAAGGGACTGCACTCAAATTCATAAACTTATGAACTTCAGTTTGGGGCCAGTTTCAATGCCTGCTATTATGAGGTATAAGGATAATGGTGGCTTTATGCAGCATTATGACTACATTGCATCATACAATGTCCTGATCCTATGAATAGTCAGTTAGCTTTCTTCTTCCTGTGACTGGCTTAACTGCCTGAGGAACATTTGGTTTAGGACAAGCAAGTTCTGTGCCCTCACCCCACTCCCCTACACCCACTCCCACCCCCCAAATTTACCTCTTTTACAAGATTACCACCGAGACAGGAGAAAGATGGCCCACTGCATAAGGACATCCAGGAAAAGGTGAAGATTCATGAATAGAAATTACCACAAAGGGTTGGAAAAGGAAGAGTAAGGTTGACCCTTAGACAAGATGCAAAGAAAAAAGATCCTGGCCCAGGCAGAGCCAGAATAAGTCTCAGGGGGCTTTAGCCTAGGGGATTAAGAGAGTAGGAAGACCACTCCATTGTCTCTGCCTTTCTGTGACTTTTCAAGTTAGTCCTTCAGTGTGTTTGTTCAGTGTGTTTCAGTTGTAAAATTGAGACCACTGTTACAAGATCGGTGAAATAATAGTTAACACGAGCTCCAGATAAAGTCTTGTTGGAACATGGCAATGACCACTCACCATGGATGCTTTTGCCTGTGAAGATTGAAACACCTACCATCCAGCCCTTTACTTTCAAAGTCCCCCTCCAGTAGCCCTATCACATGACATAACTCACAAAAGCTGCTGAGATGTATAACTTGGGTCATGATTTTTTTACTTCCTACAGGGCTTTCATCAGTAAATATTCACACCTTAGACACTAAGATTCAAAGTTCTCACACTTAATCTCAACTTTTGGGTACCTGGTAGGCAGGTCTCCCTGTGCCATTACTTTGACTCTAGACTATCAGCTCTTAAATAACACGTACATGTGAACAAGGCCAAGTTCTATGTAAATCTGGCAAAAAATGGTGAGTGTTATATAGATGACTGGCACCAGAATGAGGCAGGAAAGGCTACTGACCTCCTTTGCCTGTGCCTTCTCCCCTAGACTACCCCAGTGTGTGCAAAGCATGTGACTACAACACATTATTACAAGTTAGAGTATAGCATTACTACAGGGTATCAGTATTACTATAGGGTCCCACTCCAAAATATACTCATATATAGTATTATAACTAACCTGTTATTATTGGGTACCACTGCAACATTACTATATCTAATGTTATAACTAAGATTCCTGCAATGTATCACTGCAAGATACACTTACATCTAGTGATAGAACTATAACATATTATTGCAAGATGCCTCTGCTCCTGGGCCCAGGGACACGTGCCATAACATCTTGAAACTACAGTCTCTCCCCACAACCACACTAAGAGCAAATGTGTCAACTGAGAGCAAATCGACCATCGTGAAAGGAAACCCATGTTTCATTAGGAACAAGAATCTCATCAATACCTAGAAAATTTGACAAAACCTAGGGTCTACCAAAGCCGGCTGGACAACAGCTTTTGTGTCTTTCATAGGAGAATTGGGTTCTAAGGCCTCAAGCTTATACATCTGCTTTGGTCTGGCTGGCATATGATTTTTAAAGATTGCATAACTTTTGCACTTTAAGGGTAATGTGATGGAGATAAGAGATAATGTCGTAACTTTATGTGACTTATACAAGGTCCAGGTTCAATTACACAAGGGATTTCACACAGCTATCAGAATTATTTGACCCCAAAGGGCCCAAGACTACATTGTATCTATAGTACACTATTAGGAAAAGCTTGGGGATATCATGCTTTAAAAATTTCCAAATACACATATGCCATTCTAAGCCTATTGTATGTTTTCACCCTTCCTCATGTTTACAGTCCTTGGGTTCTATGTAGACACAACCTGAGCTTGTTTCTAGAAAAAAGGGGTATCTTTGGGTATCTTCTTTACTAATTACCAACAAATGAAGCTAGAAGTATGGGCTGGCAAATTGTTACAGGTTTTCTGGTTGTTATGCCCCAACCCAGACTGTTAGAAGGTCTATCAAACCAAGTAAATTCTTTTCATATCCAGAAAACATTTCAAACTAATCCAAACCGAAGCCCAATCATGTTTTATTAGCAAACCTCTTAAACAGAAACTACATATTTCCTCCCAACTCACCAACAGGTGATTGTCCCTCTACCTATTCTGCCCTGCTCATCTTATTCCATGAGAAAAGGTGAAGGTGCTCCAGGTTGCCACAGGTCACTCTTCAGCTAACCAAAAACACACGAAACACCATTTGTCAGTGAAAGGAGAGAAATTTTACTTAAAGACACTGGGCAGAGAGGGAAAATCAATGATGATTATGGTGGTCTTGGGCCTGCACCACAAGAGGCTTTTCTTACTGCTAGCCATGGGGAAAAATGTGACATGGAAAATCATGGATTCAAGCAGTGTCTTCAAACAGATCATTGGTGTATGCTGCTGACTAAGGAGACAAGAATGAGAAAATGTAAGATTTACACTCAGAAAACCCACGTGTTTTTTATAGAAGGACCCCCTCACCTCAATATCTCAGATTTAATCAGACATAAGGCCAGAGAGTGTAAGAAACCTACCTTCGAGGGGCACCTGAGTGGCCCAGTTGGTTAATCATCCAACTCTTGATTTCAGCTCAGGTCATAATCATACAGGCTCGTTAGTTCAAGTCCCGAATTGGATCCTATTTGGGATTCTCTCTCTCTCTCTCTCTCTCTCTCTCTGCCCCCCCCTCAAAAAATAAACAAACTTTTAAAAAAAAGAAAGAAAGAAACCCACCTTCAGAAAGGTAGGTCCGAGGGTTATGTCTACCTGTCTAATGAATGAAAAGATTTGAGGGAGGCTCTACCATAAAGAGGATAAGCAATGAACACAGAAATTCTGGTTTTTTTGCAGGATTGGTGGGAAACTGGGGGACAGCTGGGTTTTTGCAGGTAGAAGGGAAGCCAGAGAAGAGTTGGAAGGCAGTCTCTGGAAGGCAAGTGGAGAGCTTTGCTTTGAGAAAGGCATGACATTTTGGAACACCTGCAGGCTTGGAGGACAGTTCTTCAGGTTTATGAGGCCCCTTTTATAATCAGAAAATGGCATCAATACCTTGTCTTCCTGTTCTTTTTCTGCCATAACTTCTTTGCCTTCTGTCTCTGTTGTAAATCCTTCAGATGGCATGCTGAACACTTATGTCTACAGGACTGCACCATCTTCTTACATTTCCCAGTTCTGGCCAGCAGCAGGGATCTTGTTGCAATAGCAGCCTCTGTCTGCTGCCCCCTTCCCCAACCCCAGGTCCATTAGTTCAAAGCATCCCACCCATCCTTTTATATACAGAGACAAGTGTCCATGACATGGGAGCTCCTGGCAAAAGGACCTGATGATTAGTGATGCCTTGTCACAATGGCTGTAATTCAACATAAGAGCTTGGCTGAGTGGTTCAGGAGTACTGAGACATTTGGATAAAATCAACAATACCTATTAGAACTGCTAGAATCAGCTGGCTGCCCATCAGTATAGCCCAGAGGAACCACCCTGGGTGATACTAACCAAATAAAGTTGTCCTGGCCTTTCAGACCCAGCATTTTCAAAGCCTTTATTGGCTGGTACATTTATGTATGCATCCCTAGTCCCAGCATCTCAGTTTTAAAAAGGGCTTTTTTAGCAAGGATTTGAACAATATGAGAATTTTTAAATGAATACATTGAGGTATAACTGACACACAATAAACTCACATATTTTAAATGTGATAACAATTTTTTTTAAGATTTAGTCATTTTCGAGAGATAGAGTGCAAGCAGGGAAGGGACAGAGAGACAGAGAGGGACAGACTCTGAAGCAGGCTCCAGGCTCTGAGCTGTCAGCACAGAGCCCCACGTAGGGCTCAGACTCACAAACCGTGAGATCATGACCTGAGCCGAAGTCAGATGCCCAACCAACTGACCACCTAGGCACACCAAATGTGATAAAAATTTGATAAGTTTTGACATAGGTATACACCCAAGAATCTCTCTACACAAATTAAGATAATAAGCATATCTTCCAGTCCTAAAAGCTTCCCTGTGTCCCTTTGTAATCTCTCCCTCCTGCCCTCCCCAACACTCCAATCCCCAACGATGTGGGAGTTCAAAGGTCTAGTCCAATTTATCTTGATAATCTACTACCCCTAGCCTGTCCCCCAGAACTTCACAGAGATACAGCTTCAATCTCAAGAAGCACAATGTCTGGGAAGAGAAGATCTGCATACAGAAAAATTTTGGACAGATTCTGGCAAATGATGTAAAATGTTCCCAAAAGATGAAGAGTTTGTTGAAGAAGTAATCATAGCATTTGGGGCCTTTGAGTTTTGAAGGACATATACAAATTTAGTAAGATGCTAAAAAAATGACAGTTCAAGTAAGACACTGAATTTTCCATGAACCCCTGTATTTTTCCTACTTTTCAAATAACCCAATTTAGCTAGAACAGCAGAAGTTGCCTAAGGGGGAGAATGGAAGACATGACTACAAAGAGGGTTGAGGTTGAGAGGGCAAATATGAAACCTTGTAGGCAGTAAGGAGTTTCCCAGGTGTTTTGAACAAGAGTGACATGATTAGCCTTGCTTTCGAAAGTTTCATTGGACAACAGTTGGCATGCAAATAGAGATACAAGTGGCTTACACAATAACATAGTCCAAAAGAAATGAGGATTGGTCAAGGGGCTGCCATTCCAGAACATGAAAATGTCAGCATCATGAAAGAAGACTCAACATGGACAAGAAAGGAGCGGCAAGAATCCAGGAACACACCTGGCCGGTGATTGAGTGGTGCCATCCAGAAGTCAAAGGCTGGCAAGGAGGCCGCAAAAGATAAGACATCTCCCCTCTTCCTGCAAAGTCTGGTTTCATGGGCACCTGGGTGGTTCAGTTGGTTAACTGTCTGACTCTTGATTTTGGCTCAGCTCATGATCTCATGGTTGTGAGACTGAGTCTATCCTCCACCTCCACACTGGGCATGGAGCCTGCTTAATATTTTCTCTTTCCCTCTCTCTTTGCCCCTCCCCTGATCTCTCAGAAGGAAGGAAGGAAAGAAGAAAGGAAGGAAGGAAGGAAGGAAGGAAGGAAGGAAGGAAGGAAGGAAGGAAGGAAGGAAGGAAGGAAGGAAATAAAGCCTGGTTTCAAGCACACTTTCTGAACAAAGGCTTCAATGGTTCGCCTCTCCAAGAAGAAGATCCACCTCTTGCGGGGGCCAGGGAGGTGATAATCCAAGCATCTCTCACAGTTCCTCTAGTTCCTTGCCTCTTATAGACTCTAGGAAGGAGGGAATTCTATAGTAACATAAAACCTAAGGTTTTAATCCTGGGAGATGCAACAAAGGTTGGGAAAAGAGAGAGGAGGAAAGAGAGGCACATAGAGTTGTATTTTAACACATCTTTGTATTTGAGTGTAATTTATTCTCTGTCCTCTTTCATCAGAAGTTACTAACAGGGGCACCTGGGTGGCTCAATGGGTTGAGCATCCAACTTTGATTTTGGCTCAGGTCATGATCTCATTGTTCGTGAGTTCAAATCCCGCATCGAGCTCTGCTCTGATTGTGCAGAGACTGCTTGGGACTCTCTCTCCCTCTCTCTCAGCCCCTCCCCTGCTTTCTTTCTCAAAATGAATAAACAAACGTTTTTTAAGTTACTAACCATCCAGTTGTTTCCACACCCAAAGAATCCATATCTTTAAGCCAAAAGGATTGGCGTTGATGATCATGATATTATTATGTCCTACAGATGGAACAACTGATGTATGCATCCAAATTTGTATTGAGGCAACTGAAGTTACCTCTGGGCCTATGTGTTTCTGTGCTCTTTCCTATGAATTCATGGTGGCATGGCTCAGTGTGTGGAATGGGCAGAAAGGAAGTAATGGGGCCGTGTTCATGAGATCCCAAATTATGACTAAAATATGCCTGAGAACTCACCAGCTTAGATACATATCAACATGGCTCCTTCTTCACACACACCAAATGCCTGAGAAGATCCTCACTTTGTGAACAAGATATCCTCACTTAGGAACTTTGTTTCAATGGGGCACCTGCTGGCTCTGTCAATTGAATGTCTGACTCTTGGTTCCAGCTCAGGACATGATCTTGGGGGTCCTGAGATTGAGCCCTGCCTCAGGCTCTGTGTTGACTATACACAGCCTGCTTGGGATTCTCTCTCTCCCTTTCCCTCTGCCCCTTCCCCACTCATACTCTCTTTTTCTCTCAAAATAAACAAATAAACTTAAAAAAAACTTTGTTTCAATAAATAATTGTGATCCATCTCTCAATTGGCAAGGATTTATTGAAAATCTCTTTGAGTGCCTATCTTTGTGCTCCATATTTTTCTCAAAAAAATGTAAAATGTGTATGAAACTGTCTTACATGAGAAATTATTCTAATTTCTTAGACAAGAACAACCCAGCTCCTCCATTTACTAGCTGCAGGATTGTGGACAAGTTGCCTAACCACCCTGATCCTGGAATGCAGCAATAATAATACCCCCCACACAGGGTTGATGTAAAAATTAAATAAATAGGTTAATATCTCTAGAGTACTTACCATATTCCTGGCATTGTTCCAAGCATACACTCTTATCTTGGCACTGTCCTCTCAAGAGTATAAGGTGCCTGAAAGAAGGCACAAAGGTAAAATAACAAAGACTAGTCAAGACCAGATGGCCATCCCAAACTGGATTTATCTATCCCTAAATGAGGGGGTTGAGGTCAGGTAGGAGTGAAGGACACATGGGTAAAGTGAGTTTGGAAGAATAAGGAGAAGGCCTGCCATTTTCTATATCAGAGCAATAGTGGTTGAACAAAGCCTCCTCTTTTAAGAACTTTGGCTGTGAAGCAAAGGAGAGAGTGGTTGCTAGAGAGAGGCTCACCCTCTGCTCAAAAACAACCTTAACTCTCCACTACCTCACCTCCTGTCTCTCCTCTACCCATTGCACTCCTGACCGCACCCCCACTCTCTCTCTGCAAGAATCTACTTTCCAAATGTTCTATAGGGTCAAATAAAGTAAGCAGTGAAAAATGAAATGAGGCTCTTCAATTGCTCTGCACAGCTCCTGGTACTTAGTAGGTCCCCAGTGAGTGGTATGACCTCTCCAAGTCCAGCACTTCCAGGTTTGAACTCCATACTGTTACTCTGCAACTTCATTCTTATATTTTACTCTGCTCGGTCTCTTTCCTCAGCTGTCTTCCCTGAAACTCCCAAAGGTTGATGATAATTCCTATAATTTTGTCCCTAGATCATCTCATCTGCTCCTGTAAATTCAGCTACACATAACTACTTTGCTGATGCTCAAATCTACATTACCTGCCCCATTGCTCTCCTGAGCTAGTTACTCATATCTCATTTTTCCACTGAGCACTTAAGTAGACATTATATCTGTCCAGTAGAAATCTCAATCTGTGCAAATCTAAACCAACACTTTCTGTCCAAATGTAGTTGTTGCTGCAGTACCTATTGGTGGTTATTCACTCAGGCCGGAAGTCTAGGGGTCAATCCTTCCCTTTGAAGCTCATTCTTTTCACTTCCTCCCTCATCTCAGTGTTTTATAATCCACCCTTTCTTCTGTATCCCCATCACCGACTTGGGTCAGTGTCCTCTAGGTTTTCATATTCAAGTCTTTTGTCCATGTCTCCCTTCATGGTAGGCATTAACTGCATGCCATCCCCTTGGTGATTAACCGCCCTGTCCCTCTCTACCAGAGCAGCAAATATCTGAGAAGACACTGCTGAATCACTAAAATTAAGTAGATGAAGATTTAATTCCCACCTCTGCTATTTAGTATTTATGTGTCCTTCAGCAATTTCCTGAAGCCTAAAAGGAAGTAATTTCCAACTGGGCATTCAGTTTCCTCATTAATAAAATAATAGGATTGCCATTAATTCCATATCCTTCTGGCTTTAACTAAAAGAAGATTTTTGAAGCCAGGAAGAATAAAATAATCTGTCCAAGTTTAGTAGATCGAGAGGCTTGGCCCCAGAAAATCAGTCTGACTAAATGTTGAAGGAAATCATCCCAGGTCCCACTGCTCAGCCCTTCTCCTGTAGATTGGGTCACTGACCTCATATGGACTTTGTGACATACCAGAGTGGGCAACCATAAGTCCACAGTGACCTGGTTTCTTTAGATGCCCCTCCTTGCCCCATCTCAAGGCTCAGAAAACCATTTTCAGGTAAATAGCCAGAAAACCCATATTGGGATTCTAACATCTACCATGACCGAATATAGACACCCTAGGATACAGGACTTCTGCCCATCCCCAGAGGACTCCACGGACTTTCTTCAGGAGCATAGAAAAAAGTACCACCGAGGACAGCATGGGGAAGGATGAAGACAGCAACTGGCCGGTTCTTCAGTGTGTGGTCCTGAAAGAGTGTGGGAGGAATATGGGGAGCAGTTGGGGGATGTGTAAGGGGAGGGGAGGAAGGAGGTGGTGACAGAGGCATTACTGAAGAGGCTTCATTCATTCTCAGGCACATGGCACGGCCTCAGTGAGAAGCAAGCCATTTGTAAGTATTCATCAAGCCCGCATTATGAATCAGACATTGACCAACTCTCCTGGACTATAAAGATGAATTAGATAGAGATCTCTCAGGGTAGTTATCTGAATGTTTACCATTAGAAGTGCCTCAGGTGAGAAGTTCAGAGACCTACAAATGGCCCTGTACTCAGGGGACCTGAGACTTGGTTATGCTCTGCTATCATCATCCTAAAAGTAGTTTTTAACCAGAGGCCAGTATAATCATCTTGCACTGGGCCCCACAAATAATGTAGCTTGTTCTGGGGAGACATGACTTGCCCAGCACCAGCATCACAGGAAGTTTCAGGTAAGCCAGGCCAGATCATAGCTAAAAGGGTAATAAAACCATAAGGAAAATGTTAAGTTGGCTTTGTGTGCCCACCTGAAGAACATTCTGAGACTCTCCTACCCTAACTGGGGAACTTTATCACCTCAATTTTGTCTTTGCTTCCCTACAGCATGAAGAAACTGCCCAGCACTATTGCAGAACAGTGCTCTGTAGAGGATACAAACATTTCTGCAGGGTGACATAGTCCTTACCAGAACTCCAGAACATCTCTGCAGTATTATCTTCCACATTTTCTCCCAGAACAAAAATGAGGCTGCCCAGCATTGAGAATCTCTTGATCAATAAAATATGATCACTACAACACTCAAAAGAATCTAGGTCTTTTTTTTTTTTTTTTTTTTTTTGAGGGAAGGAGTGGGTCATTACAAAGCCAAAAAAAAAAAAAAAAAAAAGGCTTTGTTTTGAAGATTTCACTAGGAGTCATCACCACTGTCCCAGCATAGAGAGTGTGAAGGGCAAAGTGCACCAAACCTCTGTGCTTTGGACTACAGAATTCCAGGATTTGTGAAGGAATTACTTTGTTCCCCTTCTTTAGTGTAAATAGAGCTGAACCCACTTTTCAAAATGTGAGAATTCTGCTCAAAAGAGCAATGTGGGGGCCAAATAGGCAACAAGACTGTCAAGCAAGACTTCCTGACAGTAAGATGGTTCCTCCAGCCTATCTCTTCTTCTTCACCCACATTGCTCACCACTGAGGGTAGGAAGTGGGGTTTCATCACAGCAGGCCGAAGAGATATAATTGGATTGCAGTGTTCTCTCTTCACCTCACCTTGGTCAGTGGAGTTATAATAGGCGTTTATGCTAAAATTACTTCAGATATATGGGGAGTCTCCTCTGACCAATGGGCCCTGCCTACCAGCATGTTGGTCACAATGCCTCACAATCAATTATAAAGGCACTGACCCCTGAGGGTGGCAACAGTCTTTCACTCTGGTCCTTGGCCCTTTTTGGTGGCAACTCTTCTCCCTTTCACAGGGCAGGTGTCCTCAAACTCAGTGACATGATGGTATTTGGCAGGAAGGATGAGTTCAACAGGGAAAAGCCTCCTGGAATGTGACTCTCAGAACATGAAGGGTGAAGAGAAAAGCAGAGAAAGGGCATAGGAAAAAAAATAAATAAAAAGAGGCCAGAAATCTCAACAGTGGTGCCTCATGGCAGAGTGGCAAGAAGCCTGGACTGGAGATGGGGAGATCTGGGCTTGAGATCTAAGTTTGCCTATAATTTGTGACTTTGGCCAACTTACCCTTCATCTCCTGACTTATTTATTATGAAACTGTTCTCTAGCAACTCTACCAACTCAAAGCTCCTTACTCCCGTTGGTAGATGGATAAAACACATTTGTTCCTAAAGACCACATGAGGCCAAATGATTGAATATGTGTGATATTTTCATACGATAACACCCTCTTTCTATTCAAAGGACACAGCCTTGTTTTTGTCTTATGGCTGCAGGGAACTATATCCCAGTGAGTTCTAGCAAGGGACAGCTTCCTCTTCACTATGTTATAAGTAGGGCTATAGTCAGTGCGTTCAGGGGAGTAATTAATGTGAAACTTTATTTGGAAGCTTCTGAAGCATCAAATTCAGATTTACTTTGTGTGCTATTATACACCACATGGCCTTATTGTTAATAATTACAAAGGGAATTGACATACTCAAATAACTTTTCATTAAGTCTGAAAACAACAACAAAAATAAAACTTTGAATTCTCTCCAAATGAGAATTTTAAATTTGTGCAGAAGACCTCCAAACTCACATCGTGCTTCTAAGAATTATTTCCCCCAAGTTCTCCACCTTCCTTCAGTATTAGATTCCTTCACTGAGGTCCTAAGAGCACATGTAAGAGAGAAAAGGCAAATACAGTGGAGAGTGTAGACCAGATCTACTTTATTTTTAATAGTTTATTATCAAGTTGGTTTCCATATAACACCCAGTGCTCATCCCCACAAGTGCCCTCCTCCATGCCCATCACCCCCCTCCCCCTCCCCCCCAACCTCCATCAGCCTACTTTTAAGTCAAGCAGGGAAGGCAGTGTGGAGCAGTGGCCTGGAAAACCAGTCTTTAGCCTGGAAATCAGCAATCTTGGGTTCAGCCATGGCTCTTGCACTACCAGGATACAGCCCTTGGACAAGCCTCTTGGTTTCTAAAATGAGGGGGTCCAGGTGATTCCTGAGGAACCACCCAGGGCCACTGCTCTTGTGATATGTCTCCTGCCTTTTAGCAGCCCAATCTCTCTCTTCCTGGAAAACAGAAATTGTTTATGGAAAAACAGTTTGGAAAGCAGTCAAGAAAGATGGGAAGGAGCCTGGAGAATAAATGGGAAAGAATCCCAACAAATCTTCAGGCAGAACCCAGACATCATCCAAACCAAGATGCTCCCTTGTTTCCCAGAACTGGATGGAAAGAAGCGAATGGAGTTGCGTTCCCTCCCTCCTTGGTCTTGGGCCCTGGTTTCTCTTTATTCCCTACTGGAGACATCAGAGGAGTCCTGAGCTCAGAGACCTCTGCCCCTGGTGAGACCCTGCTCTCAGAAGATTTCCCATCCCATAGCCTGCCCAAGCCCCCTTTGCCTGCCCAAACAGCAGCAGCAGCAAGAGCAAAGAAGATAGGGCATGAATGTGAACAGGGTAGAAGGTCCCCACTTCCCTGCTGAGGTCAACATCTGGAGAGACTTAGGTTTTAGAGAAGGATTCAGACTGAGTCATCAACATGTGTAAGAACTGTCAGCAACTTTTCATTTTTTCTTCTTAATAAACCCCAATTGCTGGCCTGCTGGGAACATCCTGCCCTGGGAAGGCATCTATTGGACTAGCAAGGAAAATTAATGAAGTGAATTTGAATTGGAGAGGTGAGATGGGACCCCACTAGAGATCTGACTTCTGAAACAGTGATGCCCAAAGCATGCTCCTTCCTAACCTAAGAGAGGGGCCATTGGGAGTGCTAGCACCACTTTGGCCATCCGTCTAGGAGATAGAGACTCTATTCTGTTTATCCACCTGTCTTCATGCAAGATAACACTCAGCCCCAAGAGAGAGGGAGCTGATAGCTCCTCTTCTAAAAAGACAAGGAATTCAGTTCTCTCTCCATGTCCCCTTAGCAAATAGCTCCTCTTCTAAAAAAGACAAGGAATTCAGTTCTCTCTCCATGTCCCCTTAGCAATCAGAAAATATCCATTCCCTTTTCTGAAGAGAAACAAAACTAAGACCCACCAAGGAAGACAAAGTATGGAGGAAATGGTTTTATTGGGCATCTCTGGGTTATTTGAAGGAACTCACGTAACTACTCCGTGTCTCAGTTTCTTCATCAGAAGAAAAAGAAGCAGCAGAAGGTAAAAAGAAAAAGCAAAATTAGAGATAAGGAGACACTCAGCAGGCTGGATTAACAAACAGTTCTCAAAAAAAAAAAAAAGGTTGGCTCCAGGTCCACCAAGGGTCAGGAGTGAACTCATTGTGTTCTATCTAAATGGCCCTTGGCTCAAGCAACACTGGGGCAGAAATGGAAAGAGAAACAGAGACAGGCGGCAATGCCCAATGCTCAACTGTGCTCTATCCTCACTCCAGGAGGTCTTACCCAAAAGCCAATCCAAACACCCCCAGCCCCACCAGGGACAGGCCTGTGAACACCTCCCCCTACACTGGGCTTTCTGCTTCTGGAGTTTCTCAGCATGAGTTTCTGAAACCGGAACTTCTCCTTAACCCTATGCAAAGGGGACTCTGTTGGTTTCTTCATCAGTTCCCGAGCCTGTCTGCCTTATTCCCTGTGATCTCAGCTTCCCCTTGGCAGAGTGGGTCTTTGGGGATGGGATGGACTCAGGGGTTGGGGGAGGCAGGGAAAGAAATACTATCCAGTCTTGAGGACCATCCAGAAAATGTCTTTCCAACTCAGGAGGCCAGTTCCCCTGCAAATGTTTGAGCCAGCAAGCAGCCTCAGGGGCAACAGGGTCTATGACAGAAATAATGTTTTTTTCACCCTTTCCTGTCTAGAAATGCTCCTACATGGAATTCAGAGTCACACTGTGTCTTACTGTCTATTTTCATGATCCCCAAGTAGAGAGAATGAATAAATGTTTACTGACCACCTACTGTGGACCGTGTCAGTGCCCATGAGAAATGCAGTAGACATAAAAAATAACACAGCCCCTAACCTCAAGGATCCTACTGTAAAAGTCAGATAGCATCAGGGATCACCTAACCCAACCAGCTTCTTTACGAAAATAAAGGAGCTGAAGTCCAGAGAAGTGATATTTATGGCATAGTCAGGACCAGAACTGAGACACACTGCTCCTCTTGAGATCAGACTCCCACACACCACAGAACAAGAGCAAGGTGAGCAGCAGACCAGGGGGTCATACACTTAGGTTTGGTTGACCTTGAGAACAGTATTAAAGGACTATGGGCTTTGGACAAATTACAAAGAACAATGAGAATTTGAAAAGCCAGGGAAGCCTTCCCGGGGGGGATAGGACAAAATGGGGAGGAATCAGATAATTGGGAAAATAGAAGGACTTTTTTATTTGTTGAATAACAAATACTCCACAAATGCTTATCAGGCTCCTGTTCTGTGGCAGGATTGTTCAAGGCCTTGGGAGCAGATGGCAACAAACACAATTTTGAAACTGCTTTCAGGGAGCTTGCTTGTAAAAGGAACTAGGCTGAGGTATATAGCAAAGTCCCGAGATACAAAAAGGCAAGGCTGAGTCTTGTTTCCTCAAGCTCCCCCCTCTTTGAACAAATCAAAGTTTCCAACAGAACCCACCTGGAAACAGGATAATGGAGACTGTCACTTATAATGGCTTTTTAAGGACTCTGGGTTTCAAAACATGTCTTGTCATTTTGTCTCTATAAACATCAGAAATACAGAGTGTAGAACTTGAACTAGTTCTCTTTTCTGTTCAACCAACTTTTGCTAAGAATCTGATGCATGAAAGGTGTTTGGTTCTTGAATGGGATGAGGGCAGGGGAGAGAAGGAAAGACAAGGAGAGGAAATAATGATCAAGTTCTATTGAAATGTTTCCAGAGGACTGTTATCAGGACTGAAGGACAAAGAAGAACAGGTTGGATGGTGAATCCGTTACGGGGGAAGCTGGGGATGGTAGACATCCCCAGGTCACATCTCTACTTGGAGCTCCACGCTCAGGTACTCAGCAATCAGGCAGTATCTCTATTTGGAAATCTCAAAGGCACCTCAAACCCGAAAATATTTTAGACCAAAATGCATGATGATCACTGCCCCCATGCCTGGCCTTTATCCCAGTAAGTGGCACCAGCATCCAGAAGGCTGTATTACACAGAAACGAAAGCCA